GAGCCGAACGCCGGTTTCTGAAACCCGAACGCCGGATGGCTTGGTTTTTGGTTTGGGCGAACACCAAGTGTTTTTAATGACTTAAACATGTTTGAAAAACATTTTTATGATTTAGGAAATGTAAAGAAGGATTTTAGCCTAAAGAGCCAATGCGTGAGGGTTGGGTCGGTCTTGATTACAATTATGACCGACTCAACAAAGCTAAGGACTTCGGTCTTCGTTCTTGGTCTCTTTTGGCTCTAGTTTAACTTTCCATTCTTCGCCTTGTATATTCATTGTTTGACTTGATCACGGCGGTTTGGCATTATCAAAACCTGTTACAAAAACGAACACGGCTTTAGTACGAAAACGTGACAAGCCTGTGTTTCAACACAGGGGTCCCTTGAACCGCCACATGTCCAGGTGGCCGGAATTGGGATTCCGTGCAGCACTGAGTCTCCTTGGGAATATTCCCCCTCCTCTGGCTGTGGGGGGAATGAAGCAATTTCCCTGCTCCAACCGTCCACTGCCCTAAATTTTGCAGAGTCAGCGGCGGAGAGCATTTTTGGGACGCCTCTTGGCCAGGGCGGTGTTCCTCTTCCTGGAGCAAATATCCATCGGTCCTTTAGGGAGACGGAGGAGAAAATTCGGTCCTCCAGTTTTGGGAAGGTTATTGTCCCATCCTCCGTCCAGCCCACTGCTGTTCCCGGTCCATCCACTCAAGAGACCGGGTCTTCTTCTTCTTCCCAGGCCCATCACAAGAGGGGCCGAAATTCCACTCCTCTTCCAGGCTCTTTGGTGTCCGCCGGTCCTTCCATGGGGACCGCTGATCACTTCTTTGGGACCGCTGGTGATGGGTCTCCTACCGGGCAAGGGAGTCAGCCTTTTCCCTATGCCCAGGAGGCCTATCAGTTCACAGGGTACATGGCTTGGGTTGGACGGGATTTCAACAATAAGCTTCAAGAAATACAACAGCTTAAGAGGGACCATCCAGATGTGATTTATAGCCCCGTTTGGCCGTTTATGCAGGAGGAGTATACTCGTATGGTAAGTGTCCCCCTCCTTCTCGTTTTAAGTTTTCCACTTATTCCTACACTGCTCCAATTAGGACAACTAACTTCTACTTTCTTCCTCTTTTGATAGGCCGATTATGTTGCCACTTCCTCTGCCCAGCGCCACTCTCTTTGCCTGTTGGACCGCAATGCTGCTTTATCAAAGGAGCTACGGGATTTCAAATCTCGGCACTCTATTTGTGTCGAGCGCCCGGAATACGATCGGGTTTTGTCGGAGAACGACCAGCTCTACTCTGACCGCGAGCGGCTTTCGGCTAAGGTTGGACAGCGTGAGGAATCTCTGAGGAGGGACTTGGAGCAGCAGGTCAGAGAGCGGGAATTGCAAATTCGAGAGGAGGCCGATCTTCACCGAAGGAGAGCAGAGGAGGAGTTGGAGCGAACATGGCATCGTCGGTCCGAGGAGGAGGCGAGGAAGGCGGCGGAGGCAGTTGAGCATAGGTGGCGTCTCCAACACGAAGAAACTGAACGCCGACTTTCTCAACGAGTTGAGGAGTTAAACCTGTCCCTTATGGAGGAGAGGCGTTCAGCCCGGAGTTCCCTTGAGGAGGCCCGCCGCTCGCTTGAGAACGAGCGTCTCACCTATGAGGGGCATATGGCGTGGATGGAGGCGGATCGCATTGCAGATTACGGTAGGGGCTTCTATCGTGGAGGATTGAAGGTCCAACAGCAGTTTTATCATGGCCTGGAGCCCTATTCCGATGGGCAGGATCCTTGGCTGAAGTTTCCAGGCATCCCAGGACCCATGGGACCAGAGCCTTCTTTCCTCTGTTCCTCTCCCTCGCCCTGAATTCTCAAGTCACTATTGTAGTTTGTTTAGGAACGGTCCTCATGTGCTCTTGTATTGATTTTGTCACTTCTTTGTAAGGATCGGTCCTCTTTGTATGCCTCCGTCCCTTTTTTTTAATATCTCATGGACCGGAGCAATTGATGATGAATGGAAAATTTCTTCTTCATGTTAAGCACAGTACAATCCCTTCTCTTTGAACCAAAAGGAAAAGAAAAAACTTTAAAAAGTGAGGACCGAAATATTATGGGAAGACGGAACCTCGAACAGATAGCTTTTACTGGTAGAATTTTTTGAGATGCTCCACATTCCAATAATTGTCCAATGCCTTCCCTTCCGATGTAGCCAACTGATAGGTGCCTGTATGCACCACCTTCTCCACACGATATGGTCCTTCCCAATTCTGGGCTAATTTTCCTCCTTTAGTGGGCTGACTTTTCTCCCTTTTACGTAGGACCCAATCTCCGACTTCAAACGTCCGAACTACAGTTTTTTTGTTGTGGTACCTCTTGGATTGCCGTTGGTACTCTTCCGCCTTCATTGCCGCGTCGTCCCTCCTTTCTTGAGTGAAATGGGAGTCCACTTCCATCAATTGCTCATTGAGGCTTGGTGTGTATGCTTCCACCCTCGTGCTAGGGACCAAGACCTCGGTAGGTACCTTTGCCTCAAAGCCATAAGCCAAGGCAAAGGGAGTCTCTCCTGTGGCTCTCCTTGGAGTAGTCCTATGGGCCCATAACACATAGGACAGCTCTTCTACCCAGGACGTGCCCAACTCGTGCAGTCTCTTCTTGATGCCGTCCACAATCGTCC